TTCCTCAAACAAAACACTCCATCTGCTAACTGTGGGCACTTCCACTGCCTGTCCCCCATGTCTGGGATTCTCTGACCTCTTCAAGTCTCTGCTAAAATCCCATCTTTTGCAAGAAGCCTTTGTCTAATCCTCCTTAATCTTGGTGCCATTCCTCTGAAACTATCCCCAATTTATCATGAACGTAGCTTGTTTGTACTTAGTTGTTTACATGTTGTCTCCCCCATTAAACTGTGAACTCGGTGTCTTTTGCCTTTCTTTGTATCCTCAGTGCTAAGCACAGTGCCTAGAACATAGTAGGCACTTAATAAGTGTTTATTGACTGACTGACACCTAAGAGCCTTCCAGCTCTCTGTCTTTGACCCTGTGTTGACCGGGTTTCTCAAACTTAATCAGAGGCTTCACTTAAAGATAATTTGAATGTTTCACTTGTGGGCCACGCTCTGTACAGATACACCATTTTCTTTGTGCATCTGAAAATGCTCATGTATAATCATTTTGCTTACTCTTTGACAGGCATAGGAAGGCAGAGAGAATCTTTACTTAATTGACATCAAAGTAAATGTTTCGAATGACTTTAGGGTCTGATTTAATTTCTTGAAATGTATTAGTAGTATGACCTTGCTAAGCCCATCATATTTGAAAAGAAGTTCCAATAACTTCTCCAAGATTGGTCCATCTAAATTTATATGTCATTGTGTTGGATCTGTTACCTCAGAACCATGGCTACGGCTTTACTAGGCCTTGGAAATAACACCTTAGGGCCAGAATAGCTTGCGCTTCATCTTCCTTGATACATCAAGGATATTGCACTTAAGAAGAGCCTTGTTGAAAGAAAGAGAAAGGAAAGAAGGAAGAAAAGGAGGGAGGAAAGAAGAAAGAGAAAGGGAGGGAAGAAGGAAAGAAAGAAGGGTGGGGAGGAACTAGAGAAAGAAAGGAAGAAGAAAAGAAAGAAGGGAAGGAGAAAGGAAAGAAAAGAAGGAAGGAAGAAAGATGGTCAGCTTTAGATGGTCTTTTGATATCTTAAGTTTGTCTTTCTGAAATCTTTGAGAAATTATTTTTAAAGCACTTAAATACACTGGAGGGGAAGATTATACAAATAGTTTGCTTTAATTAAAAACTGTATCAGTTGGTGGGGGGAGGGGTAAGCTCTAGTATTTTTATGAGAACCTTAGACACCACATCCAAATTTTCCATGTAAAAAATCAATCTACTAGGAAAGGCAAGATTGGAGTTCTTGGTACAGATGCAATTGTCGATTGTAGTATCATTTTACTTTGATACAAACTGTATGGGAGGCAAAAGGAAGAGAGTGAAGATGTCTCATAAAGTCAGGTGGAAGCTGTGTCTTAGCTTGTTCAAAGAGCTGAAATGTACGGACTTTCAAAGGTGGGATCTCTCAGTTCTCTGAGCCGGTGTTTTAAGAGGTCATAGAAAAACCGGAAGTCCAATATTTCATTTTGCCTGCCTCTTCTCCTGCTAATTCTCGCTCCCCTTTTCTACCCTTCATGTAGGCCACAAATTCTCACACCAATGAAGTGGTGGCAATTAAGAAAATGTCTTACACTGGGAAACAAACCAATGAGGTAAGATTAAGACAATTCTGTGTTTAAATGGGTCTAAATCAAGCCAGTTGCAGGGGCTTTCCTGTGACTGCGGGAATGAGTTCTTCAGACATTCCTTTTACACATCTTTTTTCTTTCCACACAAGGCTGTGATAAGTATGCCCACTGGTCTAGCTTACTCCAGTCTGTTTTGAAGCGGATTTAATTAAGTCAGAGGCAATGCAGATAGTATCAGGGTTAGTGGAATGGCTCTATTATCATATGTTGCATGAGAGATTGCATTTGTGTATTTGAATTAAAGTAATAATAAAAGTTCATATAACATATTCATGGTTTATGCAATGTCCTAAGTCACTGTTTAGCATATGTGCTATATAGATATTTTAAATATTAAATATGATGCTGTAGATAATGAATATTTGAAATTAAAAGACTTTTCTGCTTAAACTAAAATTCTTTCTTATCTGGTTCACCACAGAAATGGCAGGATATTCTTAAGGAAGTGAAATTTTTGCGTCAGTTGAAGCACCCTAACACCATTGAATATAAGGGCTGCTACTTGAAAGAGCACACTGCCTGGGTAAGTCTGAAGTAAATCTATTTATTTGCCCTACTCTGTTACTACCCTACAGGGGCATTGAGGTGGCGCCATAGTGGATAGAGTGCTGGGCCTGAAGTCAGGAAGACTCATCTTCCTGAGTTCAAATCCAGTCTCAGATATTTACGAGCTGCGTGACCCAGGGCCTCAGCCTGTTTGCCTCAGTTTCCTCATTTGTAAAATGAGCTGTAGAAGGACATGGCAAACTACTCCAGTATCTTTGCCTAGAAAAGCCCAAATGGGGCCATGAAAAATCAGACACGACTGAAATGACTCAACAGTATTATTACCTTCTGGTTATTTTCTGTTGTTCATGTTTATTAGCCACAGAAAATGTATTGTATGGGGTGAATTGTATGAGATTAAACATTCTTCAATCAACAATAGTCAAGAGATATTTATTTCACTCTCACCCACAAAAACCACAACCATTGTCCCTGCCCTCAGGGAGCTCACGTCCTAACGAGTAGGCAAGTGCAAGGTATATACACTGTAAATGGGAGATAGTCTCAAAGGGAAGTGCTGGCAGCAGGGGAATGACTGGGGAAGCTTCCTCTCTAAATAGAACACACAACAAGGGAGACAAGATGGTAGATCTACCAGGACAGTTTAAAGAAAGGTGGAGGAGAGGACCGAAATTGAAGCAAATAGGTTTTTGCTTCTGTCTCAGAATTTTTATAATCACAATTTATTAAATATATCCCACTGTTCAATCTTTTACTCGTCATTTCTGTATTTGACAAATGGTTATTATTTAGAAGTCTAGCGTCCAGAATAAGAGAGGTGATTGTCCCACTCTATTGAGCTCTAGTCAGACTATATTTGAACTCAAGACATTAACAAATCATTATATGGCCAGAGTGGGAAAAGGTGGAGGGTTGGGGTGGGCTGGAGACCTTGACAGCCGGGGATCAGATAAAGGAATTGGGATGTTTATTTAGATCAGAGAGAAGATCTGCTGGTCACATGCTATAATTGTCTTCAATGATTGTTAGCAGACTGGAGTTACCAAATTTCTGAGTGCCAGATTTAAATGTAATTGGGAAATATTTAACAAAAGAAATACAAATACAATCATGTTAATTTGAGATTTTCTAAGTTAATATGCAGCCTTCAGGAACCTTTTGTCTTTTGAGTTTTACACCATGGATATAGATAATGATTAGATTTGTTCTTCTCAACCCAGAAGACATAACCAAGAGCACTATGGGAGGTCTTGATGTCAAGAAAGCCTTTCTGTCTATCCATGAGAACCATCCCACTGGGGAACGGGCTAACCCCAGGCGGAAAGTGGGCTCCCCATAAGTAGAGCTCTTCAAGATGAGGCTAGGTGGCCACTTGTTACGATGCTGGGGAAGGGATTCCTGTCTAAGTAGGGCTTGGACTAAATTATCACTGCCAAGCTCCTTCCCACTGAGGTTTTGTGATTCACAGATAGGGCACTTAGCATAACACCTGGGTGCTTAAAAAATACTCTTTAATGATAATGAAACTTCCTTTGCAACACCCCACATCCTGAGTCTCTTTGCATGTAATTGAGCGTCTTTTTTCCAAGTAGGTCTTCCTAAGCATTCTTTGCTTCTGGGATCTCACACTTAATGTCAGAATGGAATGTGGACAGGCACTCATTCCCAAGATCTCTCCTCAGATAATGTAGAAGAGCCTGAGTTGGAGGGCCAATTCTTTGTAAACAGAGGTTAGGCAGCATGGTGTAGTGGGAAAAACATTGATATTAGATAGCAGAGAGCCCTGATATGGAAATCCCAGCTCTGACACTATGTGATCCTGAATAAACCTTATAGAAACCTCAGTTTCCTCATCTAGAAGATGGGAATAAATATAAATAAAATATATAAAACAAATAAAATGAAATGCCATCATTTCCTTTCTTATAGGGTTTTGAGAAAAATGCTTTGTAAATTTTAAAATTTTATATGAATATGAGTGGTTATTATTATTACTACCAGCAACCTCAATAACCTCAAACATCCAAAAACCAAGAAAGAAATTTGTTCTTTTTGTTTTTATTTTTTGTTTAATGTCTTTGGGTGACCAGATTAGAAAAACAAAACTCATTTGCTGCAGCTGAAATAATTTTCCTCTATGCTCATAGAAAAGCTTCCCAGGTCCCCACTCAGAATCTGTTTACCCTTGGAGAATATAAATTCCCTGAGGATAAAAACTATGCCTTTCTTTTTTTTTTATGGATGCAGTTGGGGTTAAGTGACTTGCTCAAGGTCACACAACTAGTGAGTGTTTAAGGCCAGATTTGGACTCAGGTCATTTTTCATCCATGCTGGAAATCAATGGTAATTGTAGAGGCAGCTTGGTATACATAACAAAAAGAGCTCCAGACTTGAAATCCAGAGAGTTTGATCCTTACTCCTGACCGTGGCCTTCTCAGAACCTCAGTTTCCTTATCTATAAAATAGGAATAATAATAATAATAATCACCCCAAGTGATTACTGTGAGATGTCCCATGAGATAATACATAAAAGCATGTTGTCAACCTTAAGTAGCTACATAAACGTCAGCTATTATGAATGTCACCTAGCCAGATTAAGTAAGATAGTGTAGGTGAAAATGCTTTGTAAACCATTAAGCACTATCTAAATGCAAACTCTTACTGATATGATTATAGCAGGTTATACTATGGTTAGAGAATTTTTGTTGTTTGGACCTTAGGAAAATGTGGATATTGGTCATTTACTGCTCACTAATATATCTGATTTACCTCCCTGGTTGCCAGTATGCCTTTTCTTGGCTTATAGCTTATTAACCATTCCACTATTTGCAAAATCTTGTTTCCTGTGCCCACCTCAGTTCAAGTATAGCGATATTTGACAATAGATGGTCATTTCAGACCATCTGCTTTCTGCAGCTACTGCTGCTATGATTAAGGTCCCTTCTATTATTACAGCTCCATCTAAGTAACAAGAGATAGAGCTAATATACTAATGGGCCAGCTCCTTGAAGGTGAGGACTGTCTTTGTTTTTCCTTTGTACCCTAAAGGGGCACATCATTGCACAGTAGATAAAGACCAGGCCTTAGAACCACAAAGTCCTATCTTATTGTTCATTAACCTTGGCATCCTTTAGTAGGTGGTATAGCTTCATGGATCAGAAGATCTGGCTTCCAGCCCTGCCTCTGACCCCTGTGTGGCCTTTGGCAGGTCAATTAACCCCTCCGTGATCTAACTGTTCTTTAAGACCCTTAAGTGGCAGAGAAAGTGCCCACCTGCATCGGGAGAGGGAGTTTCCTCACCCAAGAGCTCGCCATACCAATAAAATCCTAGGCCGTGTCCCTATCCTTATCCTTGTTCCCCATTACTTAGCTCAATGTCTGGCTCATAGTTAAGTGCCTAATAAATGTTTGTTGACTAAATGATTGATTGGTGATCGAGTATTGTTCAAAAATCAGTATTTCTTAACACTATTATTCTTAGCTACCTTACCAAAGATTCTTGTTTATTTTTTAAAATTGGACAAAAATTTCTATCTACTTAAACAGTTAGCCTTTAGAACTTAATGTTAAATAGAAACATAATCAATTCCTACTTCTTTCTCCATTCTTCCTCTCCCCCAACCCATCCTGAACCTTTGTTCTCAATTTGGTCTTCAACCTCACATACTAGCATGTATGCACTCAGCACACACTCACACACACACACACACACACACACACACACAAACACACACGTGACACCTAACTGGGGACCTGGCCTCCAGTTAATCTGACCTCTTCTAATTACCTTATTCTATTACAGTTGGTGATGGAATACTGTTTAGGATCAGCTTCTGACTTATTAGAAGGTAAGAGCAAAAATACTATTTCTTGCTTCATGGTAATCTTTTAGTGAGAATATTTTTTGCCCTTTGGCATTTTGTATGAAATAGCCTTCTAAGGGAAATAAATTGGTGATGGCCTTGGCTCAAGGATTTAGGATGAGGATGTTCAGCTTATAAATGGGTGCTGTACACTTAAAGTGATTTGCGAACTTTATAGCACTGTACCTTTGTCTTGTTGGTATCATTCTCCCTAAGGGGTGGTTTAAAGCTCTATCACTGCAAAAGACATGGTCAGACTGGGGCTTGTCCAAAGAAGGATGGCCAGAGTGGTGAGAGCCATGTCATGCAAGGATCATTTAAGAGAATTGGAACCTTCAACCTAGAGAAGAGAAGACTTTGGGGGTTGGCAGAACCTAACAGTTGTCTTCAAGTATTCTCTGATACACTTAATATGGTCTTGGGTCAATTCCAAGAGTGAGAGACTCATTTAAACAACTAATTTAACAAGTAACCTAAAGACCCTGAATCAATTAAAATTAGATAAAAATTTAGAAGTGATGACAAAATTTAAAGAAATGTGCCATCTCCAATTTTACCACCACCACCACCACTACTCCCAAAAAAAAATCCTCCTTAAGGATATGGAGACAGAAATTCTTCCTGGAAACCATCTAATTCAAAGAGCCGAAAAAGGAAAGATAATAAATAATTAGACTTTAAAGGTTCAATGATATATTACAAAATGGCATCCTACCTGACTGTCTTCAAGTATTTGAAAGACTGTCATGTGGAAGAAAGATTAGCTTTGTTCTGTTTGGCCCCAGATTATTGTTGTTGCTTCATTCTCAAAGAGAACCAGTGACATCAGCAGGGTGATATCTTGCCTTGCAAGTGAATTGGATTTAAATGAGGCAGCACTGTGCAAAGACATCAGCCTCACTCTCCCCTCCAGAATCACTGGAGTCCAGTGGCAAGACATAGATCAGGGTGATTGGAGATGGCCCTCGATAAAGTGGGAGATCTTGGCCTTTTTAAGCTAAGATCTTTCCCAGGTCTCATTTTGTCTGAGGCAACACCCATTCAGTGGTTAAGGTTAGGTAAGAAATGAGGCAAAAGATGAGCTAGTTTGCCTTCAGAAAAGAATCAATCTGGGAGGGAAAGACCCTCAGAGTTTTTGTCCAGAACAGAAACAGTGGCCCAGGGGAAAGAACTAGGAACAATAAGAAGAGTTTGCAAAAAAAATTTCATCTGTATATAAGAGATAAATTTACTAATAATTAGGGCTATCTTGAAATAGAATGGGATGTCTCACAAGATATAACAGGTTTTCCCTCCCTGGAGGTCTCAAGTGCCGTCTGGGCGACCACCAGTCAGGGAAGATTGCAGGGGGGTTCCCATTCAGGTGCAGGTTGGACAAGCTGACCTTTGGGGTCCCTTCAAAGTCTGAGTTCTATATCCTCTTTTGGCTGGTTTTGCTTTTGGCTCTTTGTGGCTCAAGTCTGCTTTTTCAAACCCACTGTGTATGATATGTGACCTTAACAGCATAAAATTAGATCATCTCCATCTTCTTGAGGGCCCTGAATCTTGAAAGACGCAAGAAGAAATTGGGTTTTGAATGAAAAAGTCCATTTCCAAAGCACTCTACAATGTTGCCCACCTTTCCTTCTGTTCTCTTCCACAAATCTTGTTGTGCCAAAGACTTTTGGAAATTTGTCAAGCACCTGGAGAGATTCATCTAATTTGTACTTTTAAAAAAAAGTAAAAAAATGTTCAGCCTCTTTTTTTCCCTCCGTTTTATATCCTCCTTGATAGCTGAATAGAAACTGCTGGCTGACTGAGCGTACAAATAATGAAAACCTGTAGTTAGAACAAATAATTATAGATGGTTTTAGAGCAAAGGAAGATAATGTGACCAAAAAACCCTCCAGGCACTCAAAATGTTAGCAGAGACTAGTGCAACATAACTTTGGCCTGTTAGATTCAGCCATCTGTGTGGCTCTGTCATCTCTCCAGAACTCAGTTGGACCCACAACACAATACAAGTTCAATCCCAGGTGATATCCTTTAGAGACGCGCTTCTGACTGTACTGGGCTATGCTGGGGTAGAATGGGCTGTACTGTATCATAACAGCAGGGTGGTATCCTAGATTTGGAACCAAAAGCCCTAGGTTCAAGTCCTGCCTCAGGTACTTAAAGCCTTTAGACCTTGGACAAGTCTACTTAATGCCTCCTGTCCTCCCTCCCTCATCCCTAAAATGAGGGGATTGAGATAGATGGCTTCTCAAGTCTCTTCAGGCTCTAGATCTAAAACCCTAAGATGTTCATACTCCCAAATTATCATTTGGAAGATACTATCATTCAGTCTAATTGCAAATTTGAGATGGTGTTGGGAATTAACAAAACCCACTGTTGACTTTTTTTTCCCTCTTTAGTCCATAAGAAACCACTTCAGGAAGTAGAAATTGCTGCCATCGCCCATGGTGCCTTGCACGGCCTGGCCTACCTACATTCTCATATGTTGATTCATAGGTAAGACAGATGGGGTGCTTTATTTACTCTTCATTGCCAGCACAGCAAAGAAACTTCCTCCATAAACACGTGTGCCAAGGGTCAAGTGCCTGAAGACTTAGAAAGGCCATGTGGAAAGCTTGCCGTAGTGGAGCCAGAGTTTGGCTCTGGCCGCCGTGCCGCATAGCCTTGCCCTATCCACTGTTCTGTAGGTCAGGGTTTCTTCACCAATGGATTTGAGGGAAGTTGGTCAGTCAGTCAATAAGCACTCATTAGGTACTTTATTGTGGGCTAGACACTGAGCTGAGCACTGAGGATCAAAGGAAAGTATAGGGGCAGCGAGGCGGCGCAGTGGATAGAGCACCAGCCCTGGAGTCAGGAGGACCTGAGTTCAAATCCAGCCTCAGACACTTAACACTTACTAGCTGTGTGACCCTGGGCAAGTCACTTAACCCCATTGCCTAGCCCCGCCCCCAAAAAAAGTATAAATCCTGGGCCTGCCCTCAAGGGGCCAGTATTCTGGGATTCCCCATTGTAGGGCTCCAAATACACCTTTGATGTTCCTGGCTAAGCTCTTACAGTTCCCCAGACCGTAAGGCCAAGGTCTTTTTCACGTAGGCCTTCTCACCATTGCACCACATGACCTCCAGTCCCCGCCTTCTCATTCTGTGTCTCTTATCTGATGCAATTTGACCCAGACGCCTCTGAGGTCCCTTTCAACCCAGAGATTCTATTATTTCTATGAAAACCCTGTCCCTGGTATCCATGACACCTCTTTTAAATGCCTTGTAGAGAATAAAGTATCTATCACTCTGCTCATCAAATGAGGGAGTTGGATTGGAAGCACTCTAAGGGGCCTTCCAGCTCTCAATTCTGAGATTTTGGGCCTGTTCTTACCCCACGTTGACCCACGTAAGAGAGAATGAACCATTTTTTTAACGTCTCTTTCCTTTCTCCCCCCTCTTCTCCACCCCACCTCCCTACCATACGCTTGAACAACCTTGAGTTCAACGACTTTGTGGGATACAATAGGAGACAATTTCTTAACCTTGATGCAGGTTCATTTTGCTCTTTCAGGGTTTTCTCTTTACTATATGGTATTATTTTTAATAGCACCTTCTATATAACTGCCTTAGAGCCACAATTACCGTTAAAGAGGGAGACAAAGGAGCTTGGACAAGAGAGAAATGAAATGTTTCCAGGTGAGGTTTATTGGTAGGTAGTAAATAGGAAGGCATAAATGGTTCCTACTCGAAAAGGTCAGTGACATTGGAAAAGAAAAAGGAAAAAAAAAAAAGATTGCTACAAATGACACAAGTTTTCCCCACCCAAGGTGGTCAGCCAGGTCAACTTCTATATTAAAAAGACAGCAAAGTATCCTAGAATAGCAAATAAACCATGCTTTCCACAAGTCTCTCTTCTATCCATGTCTGGTACTATGCCTCCCAGAATCCCCTCCCCTTAACAGAAGCTGTCCCTTTAAGTAATCACTATGACCCCCTAAGCACCCCCAGGAATCTGGACCCCCTGACAGCAAGCAGTAATTACTAAATCCCCTTCTGGTAATCTGAGAAAGGTTTAATCAACTTTGTTGTCTCATTAATTGCGTGCTGCAACCTTTCCTTAATCAAAATGTATAAGGTGGTATTTTTTTTCTCCTCTGTCTATCCTCGTGTCTTTTCCTCCAGGGATATTAAAGCTGGAAACATTCTCCTAACAGAGCCAGGTCAGGTGAAGCTGGCTGATTTTGGATCTGCCTCAATAGCTTCTCCCGCCAACTCCTTTGTGGGGACCCCTTACTGGTGAGTAGTGCTGGCGAGCCCAGGACAGCCCAGGAATCCCATCAGTGAATGGAAAAGGCTCCATTTTTAAAAGCTGGGACTGTTGGGAATTTTGCTTAAAGGACAGGAGAAGAACCAGGGCATCAGCACCAGAGTAGGGAGGACAGCCCACGTGGTTCTAAATTGTTTAAACTAGAGGTCCAGCTAGGGACCACGCCTAGGTTTTTGGGTTTCCTTTTGAGTCAAAGGCTGTAGGTGGCTACAAGACGTTCTCTACTCCACCAAAAAGTACTTGCTCAGTGAAGGAACTCCGAGATCCTATTCCACTTGAGTTCTCTGACAGGATTTTTCTTCCTCCTAATCCCAACTTTCATAGGTCTCCTAGGCTATTCCTCTGTCTCCCATCACTTATAGACTAGAACTTGTATTCATCTTGAAAGATGATTGAGTGGAAAAATCACTTGTCTGATGAGGAACTGAGTCATCATTTGAATTTTCTGCTTATCTTAACATCAGTGAATTTCCACTGGTGCATCATACTGCACCAGACTCCGGACAAAATGAATTAATCACCTGAGCTCCTAGAGGGCAAAATTCCAGCCATCCAAGGAGAACGGAAATACACAAACATCTGTTACTAATGGTTCCTTGTTCATGATACTCTTAAAAGAGTTGATAGTACTCCTTGGTGTAGCATCATCAGCCATTTTATAAATTGTTGTTTATGTGTAGGGGAGAGAGATACATCCTTGAAGTCAGCAAGGCCTGGGTTCAAGACACATACTGGCTGTATAACCCTGGGCGAGTCACTTAATTTCTTCGTATGCCTAGGCAACTGTAGAGCAGGTGCATTGGTGAATGGAGTTTCCTCATCTGGAAGTTCCCTATATCTGGGAGTATGTTGGGACCAGCTCAAACTGTCTCACCGGAGACAACTGTGAAATTTTCTCAGTGACTTCAGAAGTCAGCAAATGCTACAAACCAGGGTTTGATTTATTGTTTTGTTGATTGTTTAGACCTAAGCAAATGATGGGGAAAATGTTAATTATGTAAAGTAAAAGTAAAAGGATGCAGTTGGAGAGCCAGTTGTTAAACATTTACCCCCAAGCTTCTGCTTTTATCAGTGTAATCAAAGGTCCCATCCCTATCCCTATGCTAACATTTGTATAAGAAAGGCATCATGGCCTAGTAGGTAAAGAGTTAGGTTCAAATCCTACCTCTGCTGGGTGACCCTGGGCAAGTCACTTAACCTCAGAGTGCTCTAGACACCTCTGTGACCTGTTGTAGAGCAGCTGCGTTTCCTCCTCTGGGAGTTCTCCATACCACTGAAACCACAGGTCCCATCCCTATCCCTTTTCCCTAGTGAAAGTATAGTATCATTCCAAAATTCAGGATTTGTCCACATATTTGAATAATAATAACATTCAGTATGGTTCAGGGGGAAAATTTTTCATTAAGTTTGATAATAATTGAAGGTAATTTTGTGAATACTCCTCGGGGAGGCATAATCTTTGCTCTCTGGTTCTCCATATTGCTTCTCTTCTGAACCCTGAATTGTGTGTATTTCTGATCCACAGGATGGCTCCAGAGGTCATCCTCGCTATGGATGAAGGACAGTACGATGGGAAAGTGGACGTCTGGTCTCTCGGGATCACGTGCATTGAGTTAGGTAAGTAGCAACTGTCCCATTTCTTGGCACAGAGGCCATATGCCATGGGGGTACATTTACTTTGCCTTTTTCTCTTGGGCTTCATGTATCAGAAGATTGCTTCCTTCTTTTATTCCTGTGACTGATTTAGATCAAGTTCCTAGCATATGGAGTTGGGAGGGACCTTAATGGTCATCTAGCTGACACTTCTTAAACCCAAATGGGGTCATGACCCACAGTTTAAGAAGCGCTAAAGGAGTTGCAGGTGGAAAAAGTTTAAGAAGCCTTAATCTAGACTGGCAGTTTTCAAACTCTTGGAGCTTAAGATACCTTTAACCTCTTTAAAATTATTAAGACGCTTCCGAAGAGCTTTTGTTTTTGTGGGTTCTACTTATTTCACTTACAGTATTAGAAATTAAAATATCTTAGTATTATTAGAAAACAGTGTTGATGCCTAGTCCCCAGATGATATTTAGAGAACCACTGACCTTACCAAACTCCCATCATTTTATAAATGTGAGCTTCAACCGTTGTTCACTCATGTCTGATGCTTCATGCCCCCATTTGGGGATTTCTTGGCAGAGATACTGGAGTGATTTGCCATTTCCTTCTCCAGCTCATTTTTACAGATGAGGAAACTGAGGCAAATAGGGTGATGTGATTTGCCCAGGGTCACACAGCTAGTAAGTGTCTGACACTGGATTTGAACCCAGGTCTTCCTGACTTCAGGCCCAGTGCTCTCTGCATTATGGCGCCTCCTAGCTGCCCTGTAGATGTGAGTACTGAGACCTAGAGCTTAAGGTCACTTTCCCAAGCTCCTACATGCTATGCCTGAAGCTAGAACCCTGATGCAATCCTGGCCTTTAGTCATGCCTCACTTGTATTTATTCTCACATTTTATCAGTAGGCAGCTGGGTGGTGCATTGGGTAGAGCCCTGGATTTGGGACTCAAAAAGACCTGAATTCAAGTCCTGGCTCATCTATGTGGCCCTGGACAAATCACTAAACCTGTCTCTGCTTCAGTTTCTTCATCTGCAAGATGGGGATAATTATAGCACACATTGTTGCTGTGAAGATCAAATGATTTATATAAAGTGTTTTGCAAACTTTCAAGCACTTTATAAATGCTATGTATTTTATTAGAAATAATAATAATCCAGGATCCTGCATAGCAGGACATTTTAAGGACACAAGTAACACTGTGTAAAGCACCATCGGCATCTATACCATATACCATATATGCCCAATGCGTCAGCAGCTACCTTAATTACCATTTCCCCAAATTCTCCCCTCCTGCCCAACTTTGCATTTAGGAAGTCAGCACAGAAGGAGTGCTCTTGACCCCAGCTAGTAACAAGCATTGGCTCAAAGAGACCTAATTTTGCCTCATGTTTACTTGTAACTATTACATTTTTATAGCGCCCTTTATTTTCTTTTTAAAATACCATCTTTGCTGAGATAAGAGACTGTCAGCATTTTTTTTAAAAACTGTCTAATTGGTTGGTTGATGCATTGGTTGGTTTTGTAGAAATTGTTTTCCTCTCCTTTATTCTTTGTTAGAAGGAAAAGGGAAAGGACAGCCATTTTGGGAAGTGAAGGTGACGTAAAACCAAATGACATCAGTAGGAAATTAGATTTTTTTTTAAAGAAAAAAAAGAACTATTTGTCTCTGTGACAGACACCTACTTAGTAGTTTGCTAGAACAAACAAATAGTTAAAACAATAGAAATGTAGAACAACAGACATACCAATGCATTATTGGGGGAGCTTTGAATCACTCCAATTCAGAAAAGGTGGTTGGAATTCTGTGTATAACATGACTAAAATATCTATAGGCTTTGACTCAGAGATCCTATTGCTAGGCACGTGCTCCTAGGAGGTCGTCGTTAAGAAGAAAGTCCCCATATACACTAGAATAGTCTTAGCAGCGCTTTTTGTTTTAGCAAATAAGTGGAAACAAGGTAGAAGCCCATCAGTTGGGCCATGGTGAAATCAATTGTGGTTCAGGAATAGCTAGACTATTGCTGTTCCGTTAGAATTGATGGACACAATGAACGCAGAGAAGCATGGAGAGACTTCGATGAAAGAGTACACAATTAATTAAGCAGAACCAAGAAAACAATATGCACAATGACCAAAACAATGAAATACAAGAACAACAACAAATCCACCTGATCTGAATATTGCAAAATTGTAAAGACCAAGCTTGGATCCCAAGAAGAAATACAAGAAGACACCTCCTTCCAACTTTGCCAAAGTGGAGGTCCGTGACTGTGGAACATTGCAAAAATGTCAAGTTTTAAAATACATCTTAATTGGTTTAATGATTTTTTTTTTCTCTTCTTTCTTATAAGGGATAGCAGAAGGAGAGTGAGAGAGAGAAAGAGGAGATACAGGACAAAATGTAGACAATGATAAAACCAAAGATAGAAATGAAAATCTGTTTTTAAAAGGAAGAAAACAAAAGTATATACCATGATAATAGCCAAGATGTCATATGTCATAGGAAGGGAGGGAAGGAAGAATTTGTTTCTAATGTTATCATATTGTATAAATATCAAATGTTATTTAAATTATTGTTATAAATAGTATTTTTTCTAATACTTTGACCTAATACTTTCCATTATCTGACCCTGTGAGGTTTTCTTTTTCTCACTTCTAAACTTTTTTGTTTTCTTCTGTGTATTTTTTATCTTTTATCGGTGTTAATATAGACACACACATATGGAGGAGGGAAGGAAGGAAAGAAGGGAACATATGAAATGCCACTATGTAACTTTGTAATCTGTAAAAATGCCACTTTTAACTTTTGCCTTCTCAATTTGCCCCTCTTTGGAGGGTAAGAGGCTCGTGGCAAAGAAATCTCCTCAAGGTTGGTGTTCTGTAAACACCTAGAGTTACTCAAATTAAAAACACTGTATTCCTTTCTCACTTCCTTCCCCTAATTCCAGAAAACAGAAATGACCATCTCTACGGTAATAGGGAAAGCTGCTACTTTTTTCAGGGGACTAATAGAAAATTTCACTAGCTCTTGGGGGATTTCCTGAGTGCTCATGTGGCTAAGGCAAAGGACAAACCACGTGAGCCACTGGGATCTTTTGGACCTCAAAGGAAAGTGAGGCAGGTCTCCATCACATTGGGTGAACCCTGTGTGGCAAACTTATGATAGAGCATGGATAGGTCAAAATCTGCATCGTTGGCGGCAATAATATCCAGATCAATGATATCACAGATCCAAAGGTATATTTTAGTTTGGGGATAGCTAAAGCGATTTTTAAAAATTATTTTTTATGGGGCATCTAGGTGGCGCAGTGGATAGAACACTGGCCCTGGAGTCAGGAGGACCTGAGTTCAAATCCAGCCTCAGAGACTTGACACTTACTAGCTGTGTGACTCTGGGCAAGTCACTTAACCTCAATTGCCTCACCAAAAAATATATATATATATATTCTTTACACACATAGACTTCAAAACAATTTAATTATTTAATTATATTTATTTTATTATAATTATAATTATTTAATTATATTACCAATTAAAGAAAATTTAGATACAATCCAACTTTTAAAAATTATCCTCCAATCCTTGTGAAAGGGTACAAAAACGCTATTAATTTCTTTTAATTGACCTTTCTTTAGTCAAAAATTTTCTTCCTTTTAATCTTCTGTCTTCACTCCCTAGTCTACCCAGTGGCATCCTCTGTCCACTTTCAGGTTTGGTTTTGTTTAAATGTTTTCCATTTGTTTTTCTTGGGCAGCTATATTCTTTGTGACAGTTCACGTTTGTTCATTGTACCATGTCAAAAAACCTGTCTGTGTTTGCACAATTACTTAAAACCATTTCAAAATTTAGAATGATTGGCCTGGGATAGGAGTATAAGTATCACTAGGTTCAACTTCTCCTCTCTCATTTTTTAAATTAATTTTTTCAACTAAAAACTATTTTCCCTCACCTCATCTCATTCTTACCTCTAACCCCACATTGAAATGAAAAAGAAAACCCTTGTAACAATTATACATAGTCAAGCAAGATAAATAACCTCATTGGCATTTGAAAAATGTATGCCTCATCCTGCATATTTGAAGGGAAGCGTTGAGCAGATTGCTTATTGTTATTCTAAATCATGTTGGTCTAAGAGGTGTTGAAAGAACTATGCTTGTGAAATCCCAAATCTTTAATATAATTCTAAGATAATATAAATGAGTGGAATGGAAAAGTAATTCATTTTTAACCTAAGAATATAACAGCAACATTTGAAATATATTTTCCTTGAAGAAAGTCCTGTTGGAATCTTTTTTTAAAGTTCAGAGAACAGAACAGAAAGAAGCCCAGACAAACAGGACAGCTTAGAAACCTACAGGTCAAACTTATGTACTTAAAAAGAAAAACAAATACTATGTAATAGTTATGAATTTTTATGTACAGTCTCATTCTGTTCTATGCATGTGGAAATGCCCATTTTATTTGATGTTTATTAAGTTCAGAATAAAGACAGTTTTTTAAAAGGATATATATGTATTTTTAGATATATATATACACATATATATACCTACACCCGTGTGTGTGTGTGTGTGTGTGTGTGTGTGTGTGTTTGTATGTGCATATATACATATACACCATTTTGGCATACCGAAATTTTGGCATTTAGGTATCTGGCATAAAGAAAAGAACCGAGATTACTGTTCCTTATAATTGAGTTGCATATTCCACTAGTCGATCATAAGCTCTTTGAGGGTGAGGACCATGTCATAATTAACTTGGTGTCTCTCTTGTCTTCCAGCACAGTCTTCTTAAGATTTTAGATTTGGAAGAGATTTTAGAGACTGTCTAATCTCTGTTTATAGATGAGGCCACTGACAATCAATGGCACTTGACCAAAGGGGCACCACGGGAATTCAAAACCCAGTCTTTTGACTCCAAATTTGGTGCTGTATAGTAGGTACTAAATAATTGATGGTTGAATAAAATAAAACCAAAGTGATTTGGTGCCTAAACTTTTATTATAAGCATTCTGACAGTTGTCTTTCTCAACTGTGTTATACGTTTACCCAGAAAGCAGAGCTTGATTTGATAACCTCTGAACCAAGATTGATGATGAGAAAGTGGTTCTGTATACAGAAACCAGCATCAAATGGATCAAGGTGGGGCAGGATGGGAATCCATCTATTATAGCGAGTAGACTCTAAATGCATGAAATGAAGCGTGCAGGCCAAGAGCCCTCTTTTCATTCTCACATTCATTTATTAATTAAAGAATTCTTTGCTGACCTCCTGTGCATGTGATTTTCTTCACTGTATAGGGTATTAAGGTATAAAGACAAACAAATGAAGATTGCATTAATTGTGATATTGTACTCTCAGGAAGCTTAAGAAGATCTCTAATATGTTGACTTAACCCTTTCCTCCCTCTGACCCTCTCGATCTGCTATTGTCCCTTTTGAACTTTTTTGTCTCCTATATATTTTAATTTTTTTCATGGTCTGTGAGTGTATGTATGTATGTATATGTGTATATATGGACATGTATATACATACATGTATATACACATGTATTGTGTATCTGTGTGTGTGTATATATGTGTGTGTGTGTGTATATATATATATATATATATATATTTTTTTTTTTTTTTTTGCATCTCCCTTGCTATCCTCTTAACTCACTCTCCCCAAATAGACAGCCCTCCCTCTTAACAAATAAGCAAAACACATCAATATTTTGGTCACAACTGACATGTATGTCTCATTCTGTGTCCTTAGTGTATCACCTGTATTCCAAGAAAGTATGAGATAGGTGGTGTTGATGATGATGGTGATGATGATGATGATGGTGGTGATCACATGTATCTAGAGCTTTTAGGTTTTCCAAGCTCTTTACATGTGTTAACTCATTGAATCTTCACAACAGCCCTAGGAAGTACATGCTTTCCCATTTGACAAATGAGGAAACTGAGGTTGAGGGGGCTTTAGTGACTTGCCCAGGGTCACACAACTAGTAAGTGTCTGCGGTGCAGGACTTGAATTCAGTTCTTCCTGACTCCAGGTCTCAGGCTTTATCCTCTGTGCCACCTAGCTGCCTCCTAAATTTAAAGAATTAGCAGGATTTAGCTAAATGGATAAAAGTATTTGAGCTGGAATAGGTGTCGTGAGCCCAAGAGTACTCCAACTTGATTCAGTGCTCAGGCATCCTGGAAGAATTTCTGTATAAGCAATGCATCGTCCTTGGATTGCTCTCTAAAATTCCATTCAGTGAGCGTTTATTAAGCACCTACTGTGTGTTAGGCACAGTGCTGTAAATTTTGTATGCTAAAACAAAAATGCCTTTCAGGAGCCTACATTCTATTCATGTACGGAAGTAAATGACATATATAAAGGAACCTCAAGAAGGAGAAAAGGCCAGTTACTAGAGAGATCAGGAAAGTCTTTCTACAGGAAAACAGCACCCAAGCTACACCTTGAATGAAGCTTGAGTTTCCACAAGAAGGAGGTAATGAGGGAGAAGAGTCTAGACATGGGGGTCCTCTTCTGCAAAGGAAGGAGACAGGAGGCCCGGGGTCTGAATTTAGAATTGCTGGCCCTGCCACAATAGGACCATGGTGTTGGAGATGTTGTGGAAGGAGCTCTGAGCTCGGAGTCAAAGGACCTGGGTTCAAATCCTGGATCTGCCATTTACTAGCTATGTGACCTTGGACAAGTCCCATCCCCTCTTATCTATAAAATGATGAGGTTAGAATCACCCAAGTTCTTAGAGTCTGAGATTTTTTTGTGTTATTTTGATAACTGTATTTCAGTATGTGGGTTTCTTTTGTGATCTTATCTATTTCATTTAGGCAGATGATGGTGTAGTGGATAGAGCACTGGGCCTGGAGTCAGGAAGACTCATCTTCCTGAGTTCAAATCTGGCCTCAGACACTTACTAGCTATGTGACCCTGGGCAAATCATTTAACCCTGTTTGCTTCAGTTTTCTCATCTGTAAAATAAGCCAGGGAAGGAAATGGTAAACCACTCCAGTATTTTTGCCAAGAAAACCCCAAAAGGGGTCACCAAGAGTCAGATACAACTGAAACAATTCAACTACCACAACGTATTTTATTTTATGCGTATAAAAACATTGCTCTGAGGAGTCCATAGACTTCACCAGCCAGCCAGATGGGTTCAGGACACAAAAGGTGAAGAGCCCCTTCCTCAGTGAGCTCTAAGGCCCCTTTCACTTGCAGATCTCCGATCCCTGGACAATTCAAAAGTAATAATAAAACTTTTCTCCTGGACTGAAATTAATCCCTTGAAAGGATCCCTTTCAGGGTCCATATCTTCCTCCATTAAGGTGACCAGCAGCTTCTCCTGAATGGCTGTCCTGGGCTGACCCAGGAGATTAAAATAAGTGGATTAAGTGCCATGACGACAGTAATGAGTTATTGATTTAGCAGCAATGCTCTGTTCCTACTTCCTCATCTCTTTCTCTCACTGGTCTCCTTCAAGAATGGTATTAGCACCCTTCTCTTGTCTCCTTCCAGCGGAACGGAAGCCCCCCCTTTTCAACATGAATGCTATGAGTGCCTTATATCACATAGCCCAGAATGACTCCCCGGTGTTACAGTCAAATGAATGGTAAGACCTCTAGTATTTTGTCCTGTTTTGTTTTCTTCACTGGATTTCTCTGAGACTCTCTTCGTCCAGGGGTCCCTTTCCATACCTTGTGAGTAAATATTTGATGTTAGTTCCACCAGATGCCAGTTTTCGAGAAGTCAAACAGTTGGCTGCTTTGTGGGTGTAAGTGACCTCAACAGACTCCTGAGTCCTAAGGGCCCTGCTCTTACCTGCTATTGCTCTGGCTCTGACTGTCCTGGGTTCCCGGTTGGTGTGCAGATAGTTAGTTGATTCTCTCCAGCAAAAGTGGCCCTAAAACCTCCTTCCACAATCTTGTGTTTCTCCACTCTCCCAATAGGGCTTCGTTTCTTATGTTAATAACCTCAGTCCCTTCCATTATAATTCGTGCTTACTTCAGGTTTCTGTAGTTGTAGGCATCTCCCATATCTTTTCTGTGCAAATGTGCGTATCCCTTGATTGTATCTTTACCGTACAGAGACTTCAAAGGGGTGAGAGCATACAGAAAGATATCGAGCGCTTGTATGGTCATCTCACCCTGAAGAAACACATAGAATTCTTATCATTTGTTCTGCTGTTGTGTCATATGGCGGATCTGGGACAGGGAGGGGACTGGGAACAGGACCTGGAAATTCCCTCTGTCGATGCATGTTGGCACCTTCTCTCCAGCTTAAGAGTCCTAGAGAGTTGCCTATTTCACTAAGAGAGTAAATGACTTGCCCAAGGGCCATATCATCAGTACATGTCAGAGGCAGCCCTTGAACCTGGCTCTTTCTTTATGATAAAATGATAGCAAACGTAAAACAGTTTGCCAACCTGAAAACAGTATGTAAATACACAGCTGTTGTTATTGTCATTATTCATGGCTTGGAGGGTAGCTCAAAATCCATTGCATGTTATAGTAGCTTTACTTAAAAGGAGTGAGACAGGATAGAAAAGGGCTGTGTATGTGTCCTCTGAATCACCCTCCCTGCTAAAAATGTAAGCGGTTCTGATCATTTCTCAGGCTGCGTAGACAGCACGTCCCATGTCCCACCTGACTTACCTTTGCATTCTTGGGAAAAGTACCTCCGTCGATGAGATCACAGGTCTCCGGAGGAGGTCTCACCATCAGCATCCAAAAGCCCAAAACAGTTTAACCCATGAACAGGTACTGAATTTATTCCTGATGTCCCTAAAACAAACCCTTTCCCCCCAAAAAATCCTTTCTTTAAAACCTGAAATTTCATTTGGATGCAGAGGAGTGTGTGGTATAGTGAAAAGAGCACGGGATTTAGAGTCAAAGGATTTGGATTTGAATCCTGGCTTTGTCACTGACTCCCTGTGTAACTTGGCAGGTCACTTCCCTCTCTGAGCCTTGGTTTCCTCAACTGTGAAATCAGGGAGTCTCAGCTAGTTGATACATAGGTCCTCTGGCCCTGCAATCTTTAAGTTAATCCAACATGCTTTATAGCTCCTGATTTTCTTTTTTGAATTGATTGCTTGATTGGTTGATTTTCTTTTATTTGTGTCCACAGGACAGAGTCATTTAGGGGATTTGTTGATTACTGCTTACAGAAAATACCTCAGGAAAGGCCAACATCAGTGGACCTGTTGCGGGTAATTTTCATGCTTTCATCTGAGGAGGGGTTGAAGTCATCCCATAGTAGAGCTTAATCACAAATCATTCCCATGGCCACTCACCCTGACAGAGTGACTATCTCCTCATTTAGGTAGGAGAAGTTGCAGGCACATAAACTGCAGTCTTAAGCTGTATAGGCTTTGTTTTGGCAATACAGTGATTTTTGCTATGGGGGTGGGGAGTGGGGATGAGGGATAAAAGTCATTAATAAGAAAAATTCCTGGTACTTATTAACATATTAATATGTTTCCCACAACCATTAATTGCTCTGACTTTGAGCTACTTTATCCCTGACCAAAGACTTTTCAGGAGCACAAAATATTAATCAAGTACTTAAAAGCATTATTGAAAGACTTAGCATCGTGGCGGTTGGACTTCCTTCAAAATACTGCATAAAACCATGATTTCCTCAACATCATTCTCTCTACTGATGGAGATTGCAACCCATCTATAGACTGCCCCCCAAAAAAGATTTCCTCATGGCCAACATAGTGATGAGCCTCTGAGAACATAGTCTGATTGGTTGCCAGATGACACAATCCATCACCAGGCCTTTACCCAAAGTCCTACCCAAATTTGGTAGGCCTTTCTGGAGTCTTTTCTCCACCAACATGACTGTCAAGACCACAGGGTCACCTTCATACCACACTGGCTGTATTTTATACAGTTCATGAGTAATGTTGGTGGCCAGTACTGCTAATGTATTACTTTAGTCAGTCAACATTTATAGAGCACATATTACCATCCAGGACCCTCAGCTAAGCACTGAGGACACCAGGAAAGGCAAAAATAGGGTCCTTGCCCTCAAGGAATTCCCATTCTAATGGGAGAGACAGCATGAAAAAAGCCAGGTACATAGAAGATACATAGAGAGTGGAGGCTAAGGAATCTCAGGATGAAGCCACAGGCAGCTTAGGGAGCCAGGAAAAACCACCAGAAAAAGGTAAGATTTGAGTTGAGTCTTAAAGAAAGCCAGGGAAATGGAGATCAAGGAAGCACATGAGGTAGGGTTTTTGCTCAGCTCTTCTGGACTCCACGGCCAACGCTCCCTCTATTCACTGTGCCACCTATATAGAGACTTAGAAAACAAATCCAATAAGCAGGAACAGGGGAGCGTTTTGGCACACTTCGGTGGATGCCCAGAAAACTCACCAACCAACTTAGACTTATAAAGGCTATGTGTAAAGATGAAGGCAAGAGAAAGTAAACTAGAATGAATACAAAAGATGGTCCTGGAAGAACAGTCAAGAATGTTCAACTCAAAATAAGCCAGATCTGGCAAGGAAAGCCAAACCATCAGCTTAACAAAAAGTGATGTTGTTGGGGAATGGGAGAAGGAAGATGAAAGCAAAGCTATGAGCACGGCTTAGGGTGAATGGGGTTATAAACTAACAACAGAAGGTGGAGTTCTCTTAATTCTCATTTTGTTTCTGTTTTCTCTGCCAAGAGAAACTGGAAATGACTAGATAAAAATGGTCAGCAGGGAGGTGATCCCCTAAATTAGTAAGGAGATAGTAGTAACAGAACCTACTCTCTGACCCTCATGAATTCAAATCACTAGGCTCAAATGAATGACATTGTCAGTAACTGGCAGCTGGGACTGCTGAACCACAGACAGTTATAGTTCTAAGGTCATGGAAAACAGGAAAGGGGCCATAGGCCTAGCTGTGAGCAAACATCCTTATCTTCAAAAAAGGGAAGCAGATAGAATCCAGAAAACTGTAGGCCAGTGAACTTGACCTTGATTCTAGCACATACTATTAAAGAGATGGTTAGTGAACGTCTTGATAAGGAAGCAACAATCACAAAGAATTATTATGACTTTGTCAAGAAGAGATATCACTCCAGGCTGATCTTGTTTCCTTGTCTGAGAAGGTTAACAAACCCAGGAGGCTGCTGTAAATAAGTCTACCTACATATTAACTAAGCATTTGATAATATATCTCATGCTGTTATTGGAAAAGATTCAGAAATGTGGGCTACATGATAGTATAATTATGTGGATTCCAAACTGAATGAATGGCTGGTCCCAAAGGTTGGTCATGAGGAGTTCCATGTCACTATGGAAGGGAGATGTCTACAGGAGCAACCCAGAGAATTGTGTTCATCCTGTGCTGTTCGATGTATTGATCATGTCTTGAATAAAGGCAGATATAGCACAATGAACATGTTTTCAGTTGTCACCAAGCTAGGAAGTAGAGCTGGCATACTGGATGACAGAGATAGGAGCTAAATGAGTCACCAGGATGGCACAACAGCCTCAAGAAAGCTAATGCAATCTTGGGCTACAAAGGCAGATGTACCAAAATAGGGAAGTGGTGGTTCTGCTCTCCTCTGCCCTGGCCAGCTCATATCTGGCCCATTATGTCATATGTTAAAAGGGCCATTGGTAAGATAGCAAGTGTTCAGTGTAGAGCAGCCGGCACGACGGTGGGCTTTTTGTCCTTACCATATCAGGACAGGTTGAAGGAACTGAGGATGTTTAGCTGGGAGAGGAGAAGACTTGTACGTGCGTAACAACTGTCCTCAATTATTTGAAAGGCTGTTTTGTGCAAGAGATTAGAGGGCAGACCCAGAAGCAGTGACTGAGAGTTGCAAAGAGGCATATCCAGACCTGATGTTGGGGAAAAGCTTCCTCACAAATAGAGCTTTCCCATAGTGGAATGGGCTGCCATGGCAGCTGGTCGATTTCCCCTTCTTGGAGGTCTTCAAGCAAAGGCTGGATGACTACCTGTTGGATATGCTGAAGAAGGGATTCCTTTTCAGATCTGAGTTGCACTCAGTGACCACTGAGGTCCCTTCCTACTCCCAATTCTGTGGTGTTGGGTAAACAAGGGTCTGTGCCGGTTTTCGGAGAAAGATTGTTACAAACCAGCAACATTAGGGGAGCCTTCATGGAGGAGGTAGCTCCAAGTTTGTCTTCAAAGGATGGGCAGGAAAGGGAGGGAGCTAGTAAAAACAGCTCAGAAAGACTTCAGCACTCTGATTAATGCAATGACATTGCATTAATTCACAAAGTATGTTACCCACCTCTTGACAGAGGGGTGGTGGCCTCAAGACGCAGAAATAAGATACACATCTTTGGCAATGGGGGAATTTGTTTGCTTGATTATGCATATTTGTTACATGGGTTTAGTTTTTCTTTTTTTTCTTTTTTTTTTTCCTTACTGGGAAGATAGGAGGATAGGGATAAGGTAGCAAAAGAAAGAAAAGAAAAGAAAAGAAAAGAAACATCATTGAGGCATCTTTTTTTAAATTTCAGAGAACAGAAGGAAGATCAGAAAGAACCATAGATAATCAGGACAGCTTTGAAAGTTATAGCCTGAACCCAATTGTATATTTAAAAGGAAAACCAACCCATATATAATAAAGAACTTCACTTTCTTGTAAAATCTACTTTTTCTGTTCTGCCATGCATATGGAAATACCCATTTCATTTGGTGTTTCTTAAGTGGAGAATAAAAATAAAAATTTAAAAAGTAAGAGAGTATAAGAGAATTATTGTACAATGAGTCAAGGGTCAATCTATTTAGGTTAAATGTGTAAATCACATTAATCTCTTATAGAAAATTGCAATTTAATGAGATATAATTATTAGCCAGCGTCTTTTTCTTTTTTCAGCCAGCCTCTTCTTAAGGTTTTTTATCATGCCTTTGTGTTCAATATGCCCAGAATCTCCCTTCTTTCCCATTTTGTTCTGTCAAAGGGTGTGCACAGTCCAATGGCTTTTGGAGGATAGTTCCAAAATGCTTTCCAGGATGGTATGGCTAAATCCCAGCTCTACCAACAGAGCATTGGTCTTGCACTCTCTTTCTAGGAAAAGTTAAAATTTTAACTTGGATAGGATCTTAAAGTTCCATTAAAGTCCTTCTCATAGACATTATCATGGGGTAGAGATGACCCAAGTTTCTCAAACACTACCCCATCGGAACACAAGTTCCAGCAGGTCCTACTAAGCTTGATTGTCTTTGGGTCCAAGTCTGCCAGTCTATCATCTTAGGAACTAGCACAGCTCCATTCAGAGAGGCACATCACTAAAAGATTGGCTGCCACATGAGATTTGGGAGTATTGGAAGAAGAGAAAGGAAGCTCATGAAACTGTCTGTTGAGGCCTTGCCTGTCTGTATGGGTTTTGATCCACATTGGTGGAAGAGTTGTCCAAGCTGATGCAAACACGGATCTTTGGATGTGCTGACTCTTCCCATCCCTTAGTCCTGGCACAATACTGGAACATAATAGGCACTTGATAAATGTTTGTTGGCTGCAGCGATTCATTAGGGGGTATTTATCCATAGTGTTATCTATTTTCCGTGATAATTCAGAAACCAACATTCTGTATCTACTTGTTGGTTTGGGTACTGATCGAAGAAAAAAATAATCCTGCTGTGTAACCTTTGACTTAAGGCTGCTTTCCCACTCATCACAAGGCATTTTCAACTATGCTTATGATCATTTCCTGCTTTTGCACATCAGAAACAAAAAATGCATCTGCCATTTTTTGGGGGGGAGGGATAGCCATTTACTCTCAAAATAGCTTTTAATTATGCCCTATTGTTGGCCTTCTGATTAATGTGCAAGTCAGAATCTACATCTATCTTCATATGGGGATGGCCCATGTGCACATACACATTAATGGGTATACCCAAAGCTTTGCTCTTTAGCTCTTCATTTTTCTGTATCATCATGCTACAGTTAGCTAAAATGTTTATTTCATGACTTCACTGATGTCATTCAGGTGTTTTTTTAAGTGTATTTTTTTTTATGAAGTATTTCATCTGTGCCAGGCACTGTGCTAAGGACTGGAGATAGGAAAAGAGGCAAAAGGCAGTCCCTACCCTGAAGGATATTATGGTCTAATAGGGGTCAACATGCAAACAATTATGTACAGACTATAGACAAGATAAATTACATAAAATCAGCAGATGGAAGGGAGCAGCATTAAGGAAGATTGGGAAAGGCTTCTTCATGTGGCCCAGAAGCCCTTCTGTTCTTTTTCTGAAGACACAGCAGGGTCAGTGAATCTGATGATATTTTAGGTCACAACTGTAGAACTGATGGATTATTTTTATGATACATATTAAGGCTTCTTAGTTAGTACACTAGAAAGACTTCATTGTACGTTGCCTCCTCAGCTTTCCTCACACTAAAGCTAACTTTTACTGACCCATTTTGTCTCTGGGTAGCTTCCTGCATCTCACCTATTTTTACTCTGAAGTCACTGGCCTTGGAAAACAAGAGTTATTAGCAGGGCTCTTACACAATTCTCTCTCAGTGCCATCAAATAAATGTAGCATGCCAGAATTCGTCCTTCCCCTCTGCCTGTTGGTAGCATGTAGGCCTCTAGTTGAGGTGTTTAGTTTTCAGTCCAAGGGTCTTAATTTGGTATTTTCGTTTCTTGAACCTTCAGTTCAATTAACTGATTTTTTTTTTGAGCACCTGCTATGCTCAAAGTACTGTGCCAGCCATCACAGAAGATGCAAAGATGAGGAAGACACAGCACCCCATCCTCAGAGAGTCTGTGATCTGGTGGGGAATAACTCAAGTACAGGGTGAAATGACTTTCCCAGGGTCACCCAACTAGTAAGTGTCTGAGGCCAGATTTGAACTCAGGGGAATGAGTCTTCCTGACTCTAGGCCTGGTGCTTTATGCACTATGGCTCCACCTAGCTGTCCCAATGAATCTCTAGGACAGGTGTGGGGAACCTGAGGCCTCTAGGTCCTCAAGTGCAGCCCTAGGATTGAATCCAATTTGTTCTGTGAAGGTTCCCCACCCCAGCTCTAAGACGTGAGAATTAAATCAAATTGGAAGAAAGATGACTCCTGACTTTCAGACCTGGGATAATGCTGACACTAGCAGCCAAAATCTGGAAGTTAGGAAGAGAGAGAAAGATTTGAACAGAAGGGTGATGGGGGGCGGGGAGTATGTTGAGTTTATGGTGCCAGGGCAATTTCTAAGAACACTTAACCTTCAGGTACTAAATCAAAAAGGGAAGTGCAACCTGTATCAACCTCAGTTTTCTTACCCGTAAAATGGGGGTAATAATAGCACCTAACTCACTGGGCCGTTGTGAGGAATAAATGGAATCACACGGGTCATGCGCTTTGTGAACGTTTAACATCCTGTGTAAAGGTTAGGTATTAGTATTGGGAAAGAAGCCACAGAGGATTTTCAGAGCAGAAAGGAGTAACATTGGGAGGGCCTGTCAGTCGGCTGTCATCTAAAGGGGAGTGGGAATGATGAAAATAAAAAAAGGTGTATTACGTTGGTTGTCAGAAAAGTACCTCTTTTCCTCGAGGCCTATCCTTGTTCTGTGTTTTCAGACAAGGAAGGCGGGAGGAAAAAGGTTTCCCACCTTACAGAGTGCCCATCTTTTTGGCCCCACTGTGGTTCCTCGGTGGGATTAAATTAACCTTAGTTGTTTTAACCTAAATCCTAGAACAGGAGTCCCACATGGTTTTGGAGGAGAAGAAGAAAATAATCCTCATTAACATTTGGGTTTTGCATTCTGGGTGGGGGGATAAAATCTAGTTGCAAAAACCCACCCATCTGCCTTAAGGAACTATGTTTATTTTCTATGCACACATGATAGAGATTGCCAAATGTTCCACGACCACCCATCTCTGCTTCTTTTTATCCTTCATTCAGCATGACTTTGTACGCCGAGATCGGCCACTGCGGGTCCTAATTGACCTCATACAGAGGACAAAAGATGCCGTTCGTGAGCTGGATAACTTGCAGTATCGGAAAATGAAGAAAATCCTTTTCCAAGAAACCCGGAATGGACCCTTAAATGAGTCACAGGAAGATGAAGAAGTAGGTTCACCCTGGGGGTGGGGATGGGGATGGGTACAAAGCTTTGGCTCATCACAGGTTGGACCAGGAGAAGAGACTTTCTCTGATTTACACTTGTCTCCAATTTGTTTTTTAACATCAGTTATGACCCTTCCAAATGGAGAGGGAATCCATCTTAGTCTGTGATCCATGGGATCCTGGCTTTAGAATTGGAAAGGACCTCAGACGCCATTTCTTCCAACATCATCATCATCATCATCGCTAACATTTATGTAGTGCTCTAAGGTTTGCAAAATGATTTGCATTGACATCCCTGTGAGATCACTGATCACATTACCCCCATTTAACATGGGAGGAAATTAAACCTGGCAGGGCTTAAGCAACTTGTCCAGGGGTCATAGCTAGAGTGTCCAAGGCAAGATTCAAACTCGGATCTTCCTAATGCCAAGTCCGCTATGTCACTGCCTCATTTCGAAGTTGAGGACAATGAGATGGAGGGAAGGGAAGTAACTTTCCCTAGATCACCCAGGTAGTGAGCATCTGAACTGGAATGCTAGAGATGGAATTCTTTCCACTCTCCCATGCTGCCTCCTATTGGTACAGAAATATAATTCAGAAAACTATGCTAGGCCCTAAAATCAATGAGAAGTGTTTGTTATGTTCCTGTGTGTATAATTCACTTCACACATCACCCATAGTAAATATTGAAGGCCAGGCCAGCTTCCTCCTTGGACCAATCATACTTCCAACTGGTCTTCCATTTCTTCTGGTTGTAGCTCAGTTCAGTAAATGTCTGCTTAGTCTGCTTAAATGTTCAACTTAGTAAATGTCTGCTCTAATCAGTGGGATTTCAGCCAGATGGAAGAGGGAGGTTCGGCCAGCCTTGGAATCTAGAAGTCCTGGATTCAAGCTCTGTCCCCGACACATGCTCACTCTATGACCCAGGGCAAGTCACTAGAGTCTCTGTGATCCCAAGCAACCTCCTACAGTGGTGAAATCACAGGTCCCAAACTCATCGGTCAACCAGCATCTGTGAAGCCCTTAGCGTCTGCCGGGCATCTGTGTTAAGCACTAGATATTCAAAAAAAAAAAATGCAAAAAGCATCCCTGCCCTCTAGGAACTGGGATTCTAATGGCGGAGACAATGTCCACATAAATTTAGATAAAGGGTAGAGATAGAGAGATAGAAAAAGATGATAGATATGTTGTCGTCATCCAGCTTCAGTTATGTCCAACTCTTTGTGACCCCATCGGGGGTTTTCTCAGCAGAAATACTGGAGTACTTTGCCATTTCCTTCTCCAACCCATTTTACAGATAAGGAAATGGAGGCAAACAGGGTTAAGTGACTCGTCTAGGGTCACCCAGCTTGTAAGTGTCTGAGGCTGGATTTCAACTCAAGCCCAGCAGTCTATCCACTGCACCACCTTGCTGCTGAGAGACAGACACAGACAGACATATGCAGTGCTTTAAGATATAAACAGAGTAGATGGAAAGTAAATTTTTAAAGAATTGTAAGAAATTTATAAAGTATTGTGCTGCAAGTCTGAAGAGAAGAATAATATAAGACACTCTTCCTCCTCTCAAGAAGTTTCTAGTCTAATACAGGGAAATCAACATGTACACAAATGACTAGGCTACAAGGATAGATAGGATAAATGCATGGGCTAAGTACAAGCAGAGTGAGTGATGTGAGGAACAAGGAGGCAGAGGACACTTATAATCATGGCATGGAGTTTTGTTCTGAATGAGATACTGTTAGAACTGCAAAGCAGAGGTTAGTAACCTGGGAACTGCCATCTTGGTTTTAAAAGATAGGTAGATAGATATAGAGATACATACATACATATATATATCATATATATATATGTATGTATAGATATACACTCACACATTAATCATTGTATTTTAATTTAACTGGTTTCTGTTTTAATCCTTTGTGGTATCTTTTTTGCCTTTAATAGGCTTTACCAGAGTGCCAAAGCAATACATGACACAATAAAAGCCTAAGAACCCTTCATCTGAGTGAAACATAGGAAAAATAAATCTAATGGAAAATCATAATGGATAGAACACTGGACCTAGAATCTGGAAGGTCTAAATTTAAATCCAGCCTCAGACACGTTGTAGCTGTGTGGCCCTGGCCAAGTCACTTAACCTCTTTATACCCCAGCTTCCTCAACTCTAACATGGGGGTGATAATAGGACTTATATCCCAGGGTTGTTGTGAGGATCAAATGAGATACTATTTGTAAAGGGCTTAGCACAGTGCCTGGCACATAGGAGGCACTTATTAATAAATGCTTATTTCTTTCCCTTTCTTTTTCACTCTTGTAGACTATCCATATTTATCCATTCCAATGATTTCCATTGCTATGAGTGATCAGCAGATGAATGGAGTAAAACTACACCAAATTGGCCTCTGTAACTAGCTTTATTTGAAGTTGTCTCTAGAGAGAGCAGGATAGGGAAGCTACCTGTGCTTTCATTGGTATAGGGAACACCCAGGTGAGGAAACCCTCTCTGCTAATGCAGGTAGAGCCTTTTCCATGCTGCTCAGTCTTAGAGACTTGCCTAAGGCCAGTTTGGGTCAGAGGCAGGACCCAGATCCTCCTGGATGCAGGGTCTGCTCGCTATCTACCATGCAACACTGCCTGTTATTAAAGTGGCATTGATGGACAGCAAATGAGATAATATACATAAAGCCCTTTGCAAACTTCAAAGTGCTATATAAGCATTAGCTATTGTTACTATTTAATTCAGGAGAAGGTCTTAACTTTTCTGTGCCCTGGACCCCTATGGCAAACTGGGGAAATGTGGGGACCCCTTCTCAGAATGACTTTTTTTTATGCTTAAAATATACAGCATTACAAAGAAAATCAATTGAATTGAAAATCGTTATATATTCATATATATGTATGTGTGTATGTGTATACATATATATATATATTTTAAACAAGGTCAGGGGCCCCAGTTAAGAACCCCTTAAATTGGGTCATTTAAAGTTTCTCATAATGTCTTTCACCAGAACACATTCCAGATTAAAGGACAAATTGTATGTCAGCATAATTTAGCTCCTCTTTGCTTTGAGGAATGAAGAATGCTAATATTCCTTAGAGGTGAAAGAGGTGGGAAAAGAGGCGTGGTCTGGTGGCCAAGAAGCCCAGGTTCAGATTTTCCTCCTGACACTTGCTGCTTTTGTCACTCTCTGGGCCTCAGTTTTCACCTGTCTGGGCCTCGGTTTTCTCATCTGCAAAACAGATGAGTTGGATGATGTGGCTTAAGAGGTCCCTTCTAGCTTTAAATCTGGGATCCACTTCCATCTAGGGTGGGAGGCAGTGGGAGACATGACAGAATTGCCTGATGTGTAACAAATGGTTCAATCCCTTGTTCAGGATGAGAGGATGAATATTTTCGCTTAGAGAGGATCCTCCTTCTCTCTCTTGAATGTTCAGTTTCCTTTCCCTGCTAAAGAAACACACTCACACACTCATACACACACACACTCACATGCATACACACACACACACTCATACATACATACACACACTCACACACTCATACACACACACTCATACACTCACTCATACATACACACACTCACACACTCATACATACACACACACTCACACACTCATACACACACACTCACACACTCATACATACACACACTCACACACTCATACACACATACACACACACTCACACACACACACACACACACACACTCACGCACTCCTCCCTTTAACATTACCACCCCTCAGGGGACTTGAAACTTGGGATCCATCTTCTTCTCCTCCCTCTGACCCATCAGCCACTTCCAATCAGCTGCTAAGCCCAGTTAAGTATACTTCCAGAATATATCTCTCATCCATCCTTATCTTTTTGTTCCTTCTACCAGCCCCTTAATCCACAGCCTGTTTAGGTTTCAGCTGAACTCTTACCATGAATCACCTCTTAACTGAGTTTCCTTGCCTCTAAGCTTTCCCCGTTCCGACCCACCCTCTGTACTAGGCAGCTTGTGTATTGTGCATTAAGGTTTGCAAAGCATTTTATTTCATTTGGTCCTCGTAACAACCCTGGGTGGTAGATGCTATTATCATTACCCCATTTTACAGATCAGGAACCCAAGCCCAGAGAGGTTAAATGTTCAGGGTCATGCAATTTGTAGGTATATATGGCAGGATTTTAATTCAGGTCTTCCTAACTCCAAGTCCATCACTCTATGTGCTGTACCTCCTGTTGCCTCTACAAGAGTGAGCACCTTAATGAATGTCTCATCATGGCACACCTTTGTTTAAAGTCCCGCTGCTTTCCCATTGCCTACCAGGAAAATCCAGAGTCTTCATTCTGGCATTCATGGTCCTCCGTGGTCTGGCCACAGCTGATTTTTCCAGCCTTATTTCATGGTACTTTCTTTTACACACACCCCCTCCTCCAGTTTTACTCTACTCATCCATCTCTCCTAAATTCACCCTACCATGTCCCAGGCCTGAGCTTACACAGTGCCTAGCCTTGCATTGTAATCCTTCCAAGTCCTTGAAGCATAGCTCAGTAGTCATACCCTTGGCCAGGGGTGGGAAACCTGAGACCTGGAGGCGACGTGGAAGTCTTCCCTCCTTCATCCCTGATCTCTCACAGAAATGAAATGCATAGGAAAGGTACAAAGGACTAATGCATAGTGGAACTTGTTTGTGTACCTGCCATCTTGCTCCTCCTACACGTTCTAAGTGGGGAGTGACTTTTTTATTTATCTTAGTGACTCCCACAACATCTTACACAAAGCAGGTAATCAGTCAGCCAGCATTCATGAAGAGCCTCACATCTGCCCGGGCCCTGGGGATACAGGTGGTAAGAGGGAAACCCTCCCTGCCTGCAGGGAGCTGCCTTCTATCAAAGGAGGCAGCAAGCCCCGGGAGAAGTAAGTACAAAAGAATCACAGTATAATATCAAGAGAAGGGGAGAGACCCCAGCAGCTGAGGGGTAGGAGATAGTGTTTGAGTTCAGCTTTGATGGAAATGACAACCTAAGAAGCAAAGAGCCAGAGAGAGCACAGGCCAGGCACGGAGAACAGTGTGGACAAAGACATGGAGAAGAAAGATGAGGTGGTGGGTCTGAGATCCATCAGGAAGGCCAGTTTAACCAGTGCAAGGGATAGGTGGATAGATGGATGGATGGATAGACTGACAGATAAGGCAGACAGATAAATAGTTGGTAGAAAGACATGGATAGATAGATGATAGATAAGAGAAATAAATAGATGATAGACAGATGAGAGATAGACAGTGAGATACATGATAAACTGATAGATGACAGACAAATGGATGGACAATTAGAATGGTGGATGGATCATATATTAAGCATATTTTATGTTCTTGGTACTAAAGATAAAAACACGTAAAAGAAATCATCTATACTTAATAAGATTTTTTTTTTTTTTTGTTAATAGACAGAGCAATGGACATGGAGTCAAGTTTTGACTCAGACACTTAATAGCCCCTAGGAAAGTCACTTTACCTCTGTGTGCCTCAGTTTCTACATCTGTGAAATGGAGCTGAGAGTATTTACACTATCAGGGTTGTGGTATAGAAAGACAAGACTTCTTTAAATCTCAGAGCCCTCTACTAACGTAAGCTCTTGTTATTAATGTTGTAAATTAATTTTTCATTGTTGAAGTCAGCCAGTATTTCATGCAGAAGAAGCTCTAGGAGTACCCCATGCCTAAAGTTCTCCCTTTTCCTTCCCTTCCATTTGAAGCCTTCCTTTCCTTGAGGCATCGCTTGTAGTTTTAAGTCAACTGGGTGGCACACTGGCTAAAGCGCTGGGCCTGGAGTCAGGAGAACCTGAGTTCAAATCCAGCTTCAGACACATGCTAACTGTGTGACCCTGGGTAGGTCATTTAATTGCTGTCAGCCTCAGTTTCCTCAAATGTAAAACGTGGGTAATATTAGCACCCACTGAAGAGATATTTGTAAAGCATTCTGCAAACCTTACATCGCTATAGAAATGGTAGCTATCGTTGTTGTTGGCTATTATAATTGTCCAGTCCCTGAAAGCTCTTCTTAGGCCACTTCAGGGGTCCCAAAGGATCTACAGGCCTCATCACAAACCTCTTGGTGGGTCGTTTCAGTCGGCCTCGAAGGTTTCCTTTTACAGGCCTGGCCTCATTTGCTTTCCTGGTCTCTGTGAGACAACTGAGCGTGGAAAGGGAAAGCCCTGGGCTCGCAGCTCTTAGAACCTTACGACCCATGTCCAGAGCAGCCTCTGGGGAAGACAGACAAGTGGATCCGAGATGCCTGGAGATGGTGAGGCAGTGAGGCCACTACATAAAAAGTTTTATCTTTGCAGATTTGGCAGAAAATCCACTTGACGCTGCAGAACTGAGTGGGTTTAATAGCTCAGTCAATGGATTGTCGCCTTGCTCTCTGGTCTTCTTTTTTTTTTCTTTTAACCCCATGCCCCATTTTTATAGGACAGTGAACATGGAACGAGCCTGAGCATAAACATGGACAGCCTGGGCAGCAATCACTCCATTCCGAGCATGTCTGTGAGCACGAGCAGTCAGAGCAGCAGTGTTAACAGCATGCAGGAAGTGCTGGATGAGAGCAGCTCAGACCTGGTCATGACGCACGACGACGAAGGCACTGTCAATTCCACGTCCTCTGCCGTGCACAAGAAGGTAGGTAGTGGGCTGCGCTCCACGGCTCCCTCCAGAGCCCATCCTGGGAGAGGGTAGCTCAAGCCCCTGGGCATCTCTGCTTGAGTTTCCTCCACAGTACTCTTGAAGTCAAAGTAAGTGGTAGCATCTGGTGAACTTCCTTAGGCTGGATGACAATGTGTGGTGCCAGCTCTTTCTACAAAGACTTCCCCATCTTCTCCACTTGCTTCTTACGATGTCTCTTAGTTACGGGCCTCCCTCTTTCCAACCTCACCCAACTAACTGGCGATCCTTGCCTAAAACATTAGCTCTAATACTGTAGGCCTTAAACTCTTCCCGAATAAACGCCATCCATTGGCCAAAGACCAACAAGTTGATCGCTCCCTGGAGGTAAGACTCAAACAAGAAAGCAGAGAACGAGTAGCTTAGTATCAGGATGACTGAGATTGTCCTCAGAGAACTTGTTTCCTCCTACTGTTTCTGGCTCTTCCCTCTGGGGCCAAACAACTTGCTTAATTCCCCTTCCAGAGGAGACACCTTCAGGCACTTGAAACTCCTTCTTAAGGTCCTCTTACTACCACTCCTAGACGTTTCTCCACCAGCCTAAACATCCCCAGTTTCATCAAAGATCATTCCTCATATCTAGTGTCCAGGCCATTTAGTGCCCTTACTAAAATGTGACCTCCAGAAGTGAACATTTCTCCAGGTGGGAGCTAACTGTGGTTACCAGAGAGTATCCAGACACTAATCTCTCCTGCTAGGCCTGGACACTAGGCCTCCACTAGTGCCACCTGAGATTGCATTAGCCTTTGTGGCTCCTGTATAACACTATTGTTGACCCATGGATGTTGCAGGCTTTTAAACCCCCCAGGTCTTTCTCAGACAAACTATGTTGTAGTCATGCTTCCCACCATTTTGTACTTATGACCTTGATTTTTATAACCCAAGAATAAAACTTTCCTTTTTTGTAAGGGAGGAGGGGGAGATTTGTTCTATTACTGCCAATTAACATCTCACTTATAAATTTAGTTTCAAAAAGTTGACTGGGGCACTGAGAATTTAAGTGGCTAGTAGGTATTAGGATCAAGGCCTTCCTGACTCCAAGGCTAGACCTCTAGTCATTACATCGTTCTGCCTATCAAGACTAGACTTTTAACACTATTAAATTCCATCTTACTAAACTTGGCCCCCAATATTCTAGCCCAGGGCTGGGGAACCTGTGGCCTCAAGGCCACGGGTTCCTTACTTCTGTCTAGCCTATCAAGATCCATGTTTCACATCCTGACTTAATTATTCAGATCCCTGAGACTCTGCAGTAGAGACTTTTTTCCAAACTGATATCAAACCATTAGTCAATATTCTATGTCTAGTTACTCGTCCATTTCTGAATCTACTGAATTATAGTATTGTTTGCTTAAATTCAATTAAAACAGACATTTATTAAGTGCCTACTATGTGTCAGGCACTAGGAATACAAAAACAAAATCAGTACAGCCCCTGTCCTCAAGGAGCCTTTATTCTCGTGGGGAACGTGTATATAATAACTAAATACGAGATCTACAAAAGGTAAATAACAAAGGGAGAGGGGACAATCAGGAAAGTCCTTAAATGTCCCTCCATCTTTTCTACAAGAAAAGCCTGATAGACTGGGGGGGGGGGGGGTAAAAAAAAAACTAAACTTTGTTTGGCCAAATCTAAGAAATGTGTACACCAAAATTGTTATGGGGGCATCTTTTATGATAGCAAAAAAAATGGAAACAAAGTGGGTGCCCAAGTGACTGAAGAATGTCCAAACAGATTGCAACATACAGATGCACTCTAGGAAACCATGAATATCAGGAATTCAAAGGAACATGGGAAGACTTGTATGAAATGATGCACTGTGATGAAAAGAGAATCAAGAAAGCATTTAGTGAAAATGAAAAGGCACTAAATTCTGATCAATTGCAATGAGTGATATTGGCCTTTGATAGTGAATCACACCTCCCTATTCTCAGTAGAGAGGAGGGATGATGCTATTGGCACTGAATGTTGCCAACACTGAGATATGGCTGCTTTGTTGACCAGTTTTGCTTCCTCTTTTTTTTCTTTGTTACAAAGAAGTCAGTAAGGAACAGGTATATCAGGAAATGACTGTGGTGTTTTTAAGAAAATGATACATAAAAAAAGAAATGAAAATAAATCTAGACAAACTATATACATCATTTTCATGAGCCAATACTTTATTAACCCCATCAAAAAATACATAAATACATAAATAAGGTTGGTCTCCCATGACCTTGATGAAACTATGTTGATTTTTTGTGATGATCCTCAACTATCCCTTCAATAATACGTTCTAGCATTTTGCCAAGAGTCAAAGTCAAGCTCACAGGACTCAACATGCAGGCTCCATTCTCTTCCCTTTAAAAAAAAAATCGGGTCATTTGCCTTTCCCTGGCCTTGAAGTGTCTCTCTCCTTCTCCACAATCTTTTAGACAGTGACAATCATGGCTCAGCCTTCACTTCTACCAGGTCTTTCAGTACCAGTCAGCGTACGTGGGGCAGGTCACTTAAACTCATCAAGGGTAACTACATAATCTCTCAATATCTCCTTACTTAACCTGGCTGTTGGCTCCCTATTAGCCATTTTTGTTCTGTCCTTTGTACTCTAAAGGTCATTTTCCTTGACAGAGGCAACAGAATCAAAATAAGAGGTAGGCTGCTATGCTCTCTGTTTTCTGTTATTGTCAACCCACCCACTCTGAGCAGCAATCTTGGGTCTCCTTACACCCTTCTTTAATCTTTCTTCAAGAAGAGAACGGCAGTGCAGTGGCTACAAATGCTGAACCACTTGATTTTTTAAAAAATAAAATTGACCATCTCTTAACAAATTGATCTACATGATTTTAAAAAACGAAATTAACAAAGATCCAAAAAAAGGGGGAAAGGACCTATTTGTACAAAAATATTTATAACAGTTCTTTTTTGGTGACTAAGAATTGGAAATCAAAGGGATGCCCATCAATTGGTGAATGGCTAAACAAGCTGTAGCATATGATTGTAATGGAATATTATTGTGCTGTAAGAAATGACAAGCAGGATGATTAAAAAAAAACCATGGAAAGATTTACATAAACTGATGCAAAGTGAAATGAACAGAACCAGGAGAATGTTGTGCACAGTAACAGCAATATTGTTCCATGAAGAATTGTGAAAGACTTAGCTCTTCTCAGCAGTACAATGATCCAAGACAATCCCAAAGGACTAATAAAGAAGCATGCTATCTACCTCCAGAGAAAGAACTGATATTGATTGAATACAGACTGAAACATGCTATTTTTCACTTTCTTTTTTTATTTGAGTCTTCTTGTACAAAATGACTAATATGGAAATGTTTTACATAATTGCACATGTATAAATCTGATTGCTTACCATCTCATGGAGGGGGGAGGAATAGAATTTGGAACTGAAAACTTTAAATAAAAATGTTTAAAAATGGGAAAAATAGAGATAAAAAAATTGCCACCTCTTAGCAAAGGTGAACCGGGTGATTTTTTTTTAATGAAATTGATCATATCTTAACAAACCGAACCATGTGATTTTTTTAAAAAATGAAGTTGACAATAGCTTAACAAATTGAACCACATGATTTTTTAAATTAAATTGACTATATCTAAACACATTGACCCATATGATTTTTTAAAAATGAAATTGTCCATATCTTAACAAACTGAACCAGGTGACTTTAAAAAATGAAATCGGCTGCACTTTAACAAACCAAACCATGTGATTTAAAAAAAAAAAGATGAAATTGACCATATCTTAACAAACTGAACCACATGATTAAAAAATATGAAATTGTCCATTTCTTAGCAAACAGGAAATGACTGCTTCTTGGAAAGGAAGTCATTTTTGTATCAGCTGTCATATCTTTGACAAGTTAGAGCAAAAGCCAAAATTGAAAAATGAAAATGAAGAGACAGAGTACAATTACTACAGCTCCAACCCAATCTATTAAATGAGATACTGTCTCTAAAACAATCTATCAGTCAATCTACAAGCATTTATTGAGCACTTAAGACAAAAAAATTTAAATAGCTCTTGCTTTCAAGGAACTTTCATTCTATTAGAGGAAACAGTGTGTTCTTATGTAAGTTCAATTATAATTTTGGAGGGCCACTTGCTCTTTGGGGATCAGGGAAAGCAGTTGGGATACTATTGCAATAATCTAGGTAAGAAGGGATATGGGCCTGAATTAGGATAGTGGCCCGAATGAATGGAAGGAAGGAGACAGACGTGAGGGTTTTTGTGAAGGTAGAGTCTACAAGATTTAGCACCTGGGTGGATTGAGGCAGAATGTGGATGCTTCCAAAGTGGCAAGACTGGGTGACTGAGGAGATACTGCTGCTCTAGACAGAAGAAGGGTGAGTTTGGAGGAAAGAGAATGAGTTTTGTTTCGGACATGTTGATTTTGAACTCATTGAAAATGCAAGAGTGAAGTTTAGGAGAGAAATAAGGCCTGGATAGTCTGAGAGTCACCTGCATAGAGATGATAACTAAACCCAGTGGAAATGCCAAGATTGCCAAGACAGTTTCGAAAGAAGAAAAGAAAAAGAAAATGCTAAATGGGTAAAAGTAAAGATAGTGACTCTGATGATCATAATTTCTTTAAAAAGTTCAACTAATATAAAGCACTTACTTGCCAAAATGAGGATGCCAGTAGAGTCAGAAACTGTCAACCAGAAAATACTTTATCTTCTAGCCAAGCAGTGAGATGTGCTGGTCAAAGGCAACACAAGATTTATTTTCTTTTTGTGGTTGATTTTTTAAAAAGTAAATTTAATTTTGTAGAAGACACAGTCATAAAGACACCCTCCCCACGATGTTGCCCATACATATATCTGAATCATACAAGTACACCCAGAAGAAATCTGCTAGAGGTGATGTGGTTTTGAAGATACTCAGGGATCAATTTTCAAGGTATCTAAAAGTCATTAATGGTGTTATCACACACAAAGATGAGTGAAGAAGAAGGAATT